GAGAGAGAGAGAGAGATGAGCGATCCAAGATTGGTTGTCACTTACCTGTGAGCCGAGCGGTGGAGTCCGGTGGAGGGGGAAGACGGCGGCCATAGCCGCGGAGCATTGACATAGAGTGTCGGAGGAGAGAGAAAGGGAGGACAGAGAAGGAGGGACTAAGGAGAGAGAAGAAGAAGTGTGGAAGGAGGAGGTTGGAGAAGGAGACAGACATAGCCGGGGGCGAGCACAAAAAAAAATTAATAATAATACAGCGGAAGTGAAGAGAAAGAAAGTGAAGGACGGGAAAGTAGAAGGCGAGGGTGACGAAGGTGAAGGTGTCGGCAACCATAGCCGAGGTGAGGAGTTTACCAGAGGGTTGACCAAGCGCTGACCGGGGTTGACCGTGTTGACTCGGCGTTGACTGGAGCTGCTGCCCAAGATTTTGACCAAGCTGGAGTTGGTGATATCTCGTTGACCCTTCAGCCTATCCCCTTACCCTGTGGATGTGCACTTACCCCACGGTACTTGCTGAGTTTTTTGTCTACTCTTTCTGCATTGAGTCTCTTCTGTCTTAGGTGCTAGGACTCTGTGGATGAAGGATAGGGCCGTGCTGCCAAACCTGCACGGGCTTAGTAGGACCTAAGCTCTACTCTGACACTTGGAGACCTGGGCATGAGCGGCGAGCGCTCGTTAAACAACTCGTCTAGCCCAATGACCGGTACTCCGGCAGGTCTACTGAGTCCAGTGTGGAGGGTCTGAACTCCGAGCTGTAGGCTGAAACGAAGGCCGTCTTTAAGTGTATAGGCCTGGTTGAGCCACTCCCCTACCGGACCTAGTAAGGCTGATGATCTGTGTCTGACGACTCGACTGTCCCGAGGGATACGAACCCCTCCAAGGACCGGTACAGACCGGCGGGCTGCTCGTTGTGGCACAGTAGGCCGGAACGGCTGAGTTGTGGGCTGAAATCGCCAGAGGAACCAAGCTGATCACGTCGTCCTGTCTGCGACGTTAAAGAATTCTTGCGGAGTTTGGGGGATCTCGTTAAATGCCTCCTGATCAGCTCTTGGTTCTGTAGTGACAGCCTTAGAATAGTCTTGGGTTATTAGTGGCCATAGTTGACAGGGTCTTATCCTGTGGTCCTTAGGAAGTCAGTCAGTAGGTTAGTGTGTCCGGGTAGGGCTACGTGGTGAGGAGTGGGACCCTTGTCCTGCACCAACACCACGATGGATGTATGGGTTGCTGGTTGGGTTCTCCCTTTGGAGGACCCTCTGGCGTCTCCTCTTTCCTCTGGGATTTTGGCATACCTTTGGCATACCTTTGCGTGTAGAGTAGGGCCCACTCGAGGTGGTACCGCCACCCAACCATACACGAAGGAGGAGGAGGAGAAGATGGCCGCCATCCTGCAGGAGAGGAAGGAGAAGAAGGAGGCCAAGAAGAAGGCCTAGAAAGAAGAACAGGCGGCCAAATTGAAGAAGATGGAGAAAGAAATGGCCAGGGAGAAGGAGAGGCTGATAAAGGAAGAAGAGGAGAAGTTGAAGGAGGTGGATGAAGAGGAGGAGGGACCACCACTGCAAAGGAGTGGGCAGCACAGCGGCCGCAGCAGTGATGAGATGGAGAAGAAGATTTTGGAGTGGGTCGCCAACTTATCCCTGGGTGAGGAGGAAGAGGTTGCTATATACATCCCCAAGGATGAGCAAGAAGCCGCCATGAAGAAATGGGAAGTAGAAGAAGATGTTCTGACGCGGCGGGCGATGGAGGATGAACAAAGGATGGTGTGGAAGCTCGCAGTGATGAGGGAGAAGAAGAGAAGAGTGGAGGCGGCGAATGCGGCAATGCAGGAACTGGAGGAGGTGAGGGCTGCCGTAACAACACAATTGATTCCGCAAGTGGATCTCCAACGTAAAGTGGAGATCATCGCCCAGAGCGTTGAGCGGTTAGCTAAAGTGCAAGAAAGGCACTTTGAGTTTAGTCGCAACCTGGAGATATCTGTACGCTCGATGCGAACGGGCTTACGGGATTTTACTCGCGAACTAGTAGGCGCTGTGGGATCCAAGGTGAGTCATCGCCTCGAGAAGACTAAGCATTTTTGTGTCGGCGCCATCGAAGGCGTCGAGGTGGCCGCTCACAAGGAGGAGGAGACCCGTCCTCGCAGGGAGCCAATCAAAGTCAAATTCCCTGATTCCTATAGTGGGAAAAGGGAAGAGAACTTTGACAATTGGGAGGCCAATGTTAAGACCTATGTGCATTGCAACAGGTCTTCCCGGATCAGCAGTACTTAATTGCGATCCATGCACTTAGAGACGAGGCCGCCAGTTTCGCGAGATCCCTTGTTCGTGCTGCCAACTTTAGTGACGATCCAGTTGCGTACTCCTTATTTACGTCCCTCACCGAATTCCTGAAGTTGCTGTGCGAGCGATTTGCTGATGTTGCTCGCAGTGTCAAGGCCTCAGACAAGCTCCAAACCATCCATTCTCGTAAATGGAAGAGTGCCAAGGCACTCAAGGGTACAATGAATGAGTTGGTGGCCGTCCCTGACCATGGGGTCACAGAGGGCCAATTGGTCAACCTCTTTAACCAGGCTATGCCCGAAGCCTTTCGAGGGCAGTTCTTCGCGAAGAGCGAAGACCCTGCCACCACTTACGATTACCTTAGTCGTGAGGTGGTGGCTTTTGAAGCGAAGTCAGTGTCCCTGTCCACCTTTTGGCATAAGGATTTGGACAAGGGAAAGCAATGGAAAGACCGCACTATCTCAAGGCAGGTAAAGACCAAGGATAGCCTTGTCTTGACTTTAGATGAGGGTAGTGTGGATGAGATTCCCTACGATCAGATTGAGTGGGGGCTAGAGGAGGCGGACAGCGGTGTGGGCCAGGGGAGGACTTACACTGGTGTCGCGGTTGGAGGGAGGCCGCAAGGAGGAAGAGGCCAGGGCCAAGGGGGCCGGGCCTCAGGGAGCCGGTTCCAGGGCGATCAGGGGGTTGGCGGCAGAGGAGGAAACCGCCAAGTGGGAGGCAGGGGTCAAGGTCCCCCGCAAAACCATCCTAGGAATAGGTCTCCCTATAGGGTAGGAGGATGGCACCCAGGGCTACCGCAGGGTAGGCCTTGGGAATCTTTGGGTCTGGACCAAGCTTTATGGCAACAATGATTGGACCGGGGCCAGTGCATTTTCTGCCGTGATCCGGGCCACATCATCAAATATTGTCCTAAGTACAGAGAGACCGGAACGGCTGCCCAAGGGCCAAAAGGCAGCCGCCGGTAGGGGTAGCAACTGCCCCTACCATTAGGCCATGTGGGGAACATAGCGCTAGCCGGCAGGAGACTCCCACACCACATGTGCCTATGGSAGAGGTTGCAGGYCGGTGTCTAGATAGCTGTCCCGAAACTGCTTGTGTTAGAGTTTCGCTAGACACCTCCCTCACAGGCGTGGCCGAAGAATTGAAAGAGAGGATGCCCGCCTAGGCCAAGATGAAGAAGGAGAATAAAGGGCAGCTTATATTGCTAGATACAAAGATTTTCAGAAGTAGAGTAGGGGCCCTAGTAGATTCAGGGGCCACCCGCAGCTATATTAGTAAGAAAGCGCTGCAGAAGTTGAGGCTGGGACTTAAAGTCCAGAAACTGACAGACCCCATAGTTAGTATCCTCGCGGACAATCGCACTATGGTTGTAGAGGATTACGTAGAGGGAGTTCAGGCATATTTCCGCTTAGAGAAAGAGGGGAAAGTGGAGAAGGTCCTCCACTCCCTGACTCTCCTCGTAGAAGACAGCCTCCCATTTGATATTGTCTTGGGAATGGATTGGGGAGAGGCAGCCGGGGCGACGCTCCATCTGAAGGAGCACGAGTGTAGGCTCCCTAGTTCCTTAGGCGAGGCTAAGACTGCCCGCCTGTTCCATGTGTCAGGGGTAGAGAACGCGTTCGCCAGATTAGTGAAGAAAGAGAAATTGAATGAGCAGGTCTTTGTTGCCTATGTAAGGCCAGTGACTGAGCCTACGGAAGAAAAACCGATGGACCCTGCGATTGCCAAGTTGCTGGAAGAGTTCAAGGACCTAACCGAGCCGCCGATAGGAGTGGTACCGCGGCCCATCCAGCACAGTATTGAGATAGAGCCTGGCAGTAGGACTCCTAAGGGTGCTGTATATAGGATGTCCCCACGGGAGTTAGAGGAGTTTCGCAAGCAGTTAGACGAGCTCCTCGAGAAGGGTTGGATTAGGCCCAGTTCGTCCCCTTTCGGAGCGCCTGTTCTCTTTGTTCCTAAGAAAGAGGGAGAGCTGAGAATGTGCATAGACTATAGGGGTCTGAATGCTATTACAATGAAGAATGTTGAGCCACTGCCGAGGATAGACGATCTCTTAAATCGAGTGCAGGGGGCCAAATATTTCTCTAAGGTAGATTTAAAGTCCGGATATCATCAAATAGAGGTACATCCTGATGATCAGTATAAACAACTTTCCGGACTAGGTACGGGCATTATGAGTTTATAGTGATGCCCTTTGGACTAACCAACGCGCCAGCTACGTTCCAGCGCTGTATGAATGATTTGTTTAGGCCATGGTTAGACAGATTTGTCGTAGTTTATCTAGATGACATTCTCGTGTTTAGTAGGACCCTCGAAGAGCACCAGGGTCATCTCAGGCAGGTCTTGGAGAAGCTGAGGGAGGCTAACTTCAAGATCAATGCAAAGAAGTGCGATTGGGCGAAGACCCAAGTTTTGTATTTAGGCCACGTCTTAGACGGAGATGGCGTTAA